TTTAATGGATATTCTTTTATCTTTCCTATTCCAATTTAAGCAAGACTTCCCTTACATCAAGAATCACATTACAGTGCATGAAATCTGTTTTTGTCACACTTAACTATGACTTACTGAAGATATTTTTGAATTTTTAGGTATTTGGAATCCACCTTCACTAGTAAGAGCTCCGGAGCATAATCAGTCAAATCATCACAGCTCTATTCTGAGTTTTGGTATGCATTTAAAAAAAAAAAAAGCTTCAATGTTCAATTTACTATGAAGGTAACCCATAGAATATTGAAGTCCAAAATTAGAATACTACCTATCCTAATGTTTTCTTGCATTCTCTAAATTATTACAACTTTCCAGTTGAGTTTGTAATGCTATCACCAATATTTCTCATCCTACCATATACAGCATCATATGCATATACATAAAGAATGAAAAGCATGGCCAGAATCCTTTTTACATTTATTAAATATGGTAAGATGTTGGCTTATATTTTTTAATTCTTATCTTAACTGGTGCCAACAGTTTTACTTCTTGGCTAGATAGTTTTCTAAAATAATATAAAGTGATTGAAAATACCTAGGATTAAATTGAAATGTGAAAATACATGTTGACAACTATGGGAAAATGGCACTGACATGTTGACAGGAAGAAGGAAAAAAATCTTTTCTGAAAATAGTTCAAAATTCTTCCATATTTTCCCAAGAAGATCCAATTTCTAGTCATCCTTAGCCATAGAAAGCCAGTGGGTGACTTTGAGCCAATCACTTTACCACACCATCTACTGGTTGTTGTGGAGCATTGTTGTTGTGGAGAAAAATAGGTAGTAATTATCTCCGCTCCTAAATAAAAGAAAAAAAATCATTCAACTCTCAGCTACTTTACTAGAGATAATGATTATAGATAGATATAAAACAATTTAATCAATTGTTAGCACCAACCATACTACCATATGCAATATTATTGCTACATTTAAGCATTTTAAATTTATTTATCTGTACTTATACATTTATTGCTTAGCTTCAATTTAAAACAATACTTGATTGCTTTATAATGAACAATACATTTATTACTGCGGTTGTCAAAGTATTTGTTTGGAATAGCTGCACTCTTTCTCCCATAGCTTCTATCAGTGACATGCCTACCCAGTAAATTTTTGCTTCAGATTCACTGAAGATTTAATTTATATAAAATATGATAGTAGTGCTTAACAGTTTTATTTTTTGTCACAGGCTTTGCAAACCGATTTTCCAAACCAAAAGGACCAAGAGATCCACCACCAAATTGGAATATTTAGTAGACTTGCCTTGCTGATGTTTCTCCTGTTTGTTTCCAATAAACAGCACCATTTTGAACAAAAAGACTTTTATTGCAGTATTTAGCCTTGTATGCTGTATGTTCTTAGTAAAATTGATAATCAGATAATCTCACCTGTCCATCTGATTTGGATTGCATGTCATGCTGAGGAAATGGGATCAGAGAACTTTTGAGCTACTTCCAATATTTGTTTCCATCAGACAACATCAGGTAAAATTGTTGAACAAACAGCATATTGAAATGAACAAAAAATAAACACCAAGGTTCAAGTAACCGGAGTATCTTATGGTGTTATCTTAAATCTGCTGCTGTAGAAATATAAATTGTGTTGCTCTTCAAGAATGGCACCTGGTTTTTAGTAGAAAGGCATGTCATTTGCCATTTATATATTCTGGGCCTATGCCTGTCATGGAGATATGACTTCAGCTTCCCTTGCCTTTGAAACAGATAAGAGATTGGCAAGGCATCTGACTATAATAACTGTTATTTATCAGGAAGGGTACTATGCAGCTGGTGGACATTTCAGCACACTTTCAAAATTGATATCAAGTGATTTCTTGTGAGTTAAAATAGGAGCTTCACATTTTGAAGTGCTAGAGCCAGAGGTGGTATTCAGCAGATTCTGAACAGTTCTGGAGAACCAGTAGCAGAAATTTTGAGTAATTTGGAGAACCGGCCAATACTACCTCTGACTGGCCCCACCCCCATCTATTCTCTGCCTCCTGAGTCCCAGCTGATTGGCTGGGTCTTCTTTTGTTGCCCTGCACAGGAGAACGGAGCTGGAAAGCAGGTCAGTGGGGTGGGAAGGTAATGGAGATTTTGCAATATCATTCCCCTGCCACACCCACCAAACCATGCCACCAAACCACACCTACCAAGCCATGCCCAGAGAACCGGTAATAAAAAAATTTGAATCCCATCACTGGCTAGAGCACTTCTTCAACAGCAAAGACCAAAGTTTGGGTTGCCCTCTATTCACTCATTTTATTTTCAAGCATATTTTGTAGTGTGTCAGATCAAAATACTTGTTTTGATTGTGAGTTCCATTTTGATTTTAGAGACCAGTTACTATTTGAAGATTAAATAACTTCTCAAAATAGCACTGTTTATCCTGCAGGCTAAACAATTAGCATGGTTATTTACAGCTATACTACTGTATAGTTATGTATAAAAATTTGACATAATCTACAATAGTTGAGTAACTACCCTATAAGAGTTATAGTACTTAGAGATTATCTTATGTATAATTTAGCAATTCACATAAATGCTATCAAGTAACAACCAGAAAAGTCATACATCTGAAAAAGCTATTAAGAATGAAACAACATCAGAAACAATACCAAAAACAGTTTGTCATTTTCTACCTACCATTCCCCCCACCCCATGTCTATATCAAAATTCTTTTAGATCTACAGGGAAAATGCCTAATTTCTTTTTCAATAATAATGTATTTTAGGTAATTAATATTTAATTTCTCAAATAAAGTATTTTATATAGTGAGATGTGGAATCTTTCTTATACCCTTCATATTAAAAAAGCACTGAGCTGTAGCTACTGTATGTGAACCAAGACAATTGACCTATTTGCAATTTGATTTCTTCTTTCTTATGTAGTATTTTATTATTGTAACAACATCTTTAAAAGGCCACAGGCTCTCCATTAATTGAACTGGACAAGGATGCTTTCATCCAAATTAAATTCAGATTTAACTGGAGCATGGTCTGAAATTCCTATGGTACAATTTCTACTCGCTACAGTCAATTCAAAAAGTTTTAAAACCCCAAAGATAATCTATCTTTGGATAAGAAGAGTGCCTACCTGAAGAATATGTAAATCTTACTGTTGAGGCAGTTATCATTTCTCAAATATCACTCACTCCATTCATTTCCATTAATTTCTGCAGTTTTTAGGTATTGTCTTTTAATTTCATGAGAAACCAAATTTAGGCATTTGGTAGCACCTTTTCCAATTAACAAATTTTATTAAAAGCATAAGCTTTTATGAGCTGCTGTTCAATTTATCAGATGCATAGAATGACTTGTATTGGGCGGGGGGGGGGGGGGGAAGCAGGTTGGTTGTGTAGTGCAGGTTATACAGATCTCTTCTCGTCCCATCTCAGTTTAAATTACAATCAAGCCACATTACTTGCCTGATTTTTTTTGTCACTGCAGACTAGCAGAGTTTTCCTGCTACATTGTTATCCCACATGTATTTGCATCAGTATTGTACTGGGATTACATGTATCAGCCTGATCGAGTAGTGTTGTTTTTCCCTTTATGAAATATGTGTAGTCTTTTAAGAATGCATTTTGAAGTTCAAATGCTCTGGAGCTGGCTGGAAAAGTAACTTCGTTTTGGAAAGTTTTTAAGAAAGCAGAATAAATTTCCACCAGAGGCCTGCTTAAATTAGGATAGAAAATAAGAATAGTATGATAGGATAGGATAGGAGTTCTTTATTGGCCAAGTGTCACTGGACACACAAGGAATTTATCTTTGGTGTATAAGCTCACAGTATACATATAAACAGCAAGCAATAGGTCATAGATCATAAATTATAATTATAATCATTAATCACAAGTTACAAACAACAATTAATGAACCATTAAGAATCAATAGGAGAAAATAGCCGGAAAGATGAGAAAATGACAAAAAAAAAGATGAGAAATGAGACAGTGCTGTGGGAATTAAGTGAAAAAGCAAGCAGCAAACTTGAGTTAAAATCATGACATTAAGACAGGATAAATTGCAGAATGTGCACAACAAACTTAAAATGTACATCAAATGCAGTTAGATGAAATGCAGGCTTCAAAACATCTACCAGACATACCTCACTGAATAAGGGGAGATCTTGAACACTGTAGCAAAGAACATCCTACCCAACCAGGAAACTGAGGGAAACTATTAACTACAGAGAAGAGCTGTAAGCCAGCCAAAAGCTTAACCTTTGGGGTTTGGTCGGCATCTTCTAATTATTTTTCTAATTTCACGGAAATCTATTAGTTCTCATCCAGTGCCTCAATTGCCTTAGCTAAGCATAAAATAAGCAACATAAAACAGCCTGAGAGCTCATTCCTAGCCTTGGTAAAACAAGGTTATAATCGTTCGACTATCGAAATCTTCCAAAGTGCTGTTTATTTTCTTTAATAACGCGCGTTTTAAGACTTTGTCGTTGTTCAGCACTCTATTGCATTTACACAATACATGTTCCTGTGGCTGGTTTTAACAACATATAAAACACTGACTGTTCCATGAAACGGAAGCCCTGATCTGAATTACATATATTAAAGGCGATCATATGCACTCTGCATATACTTAGAAATCCCAACTTTCATAACAATACAATTCCCAGTATTCAACGTCGGCATAGAAAAGATCCGAAGCTGAACTAATACGCATGCTCCATTAAAGCATCGGGATTTCCCCCGCCCACTCACGCATGATTGAAATTTACCTCCACTCCCCCCCACCCTCAGGAAGTCTACGTGATGTGGCCGTGCTGCGTGATTCTCTGCACGCTCCTCTTCGTTGAAAACTACTGAAAACTAGAATGAAAACTTCATTTCCCAGCAACCTTTGCATAAAAAAGCATACGTCCAGTCAAAGAAAACTACAGATCCCGACGTGCAATATTGGACCACAATTCCCAGAGAGTGTCAAGCGACGCCTGCGCAACCTTTACAGGCGCTCGGGCCATTTAAATGTGTGTGAGGGAGAGAGCGAAATGGCTGCGCAGGTCGCTGCGGTACGCGCCGTGTCCCGGGGCGCGGAAGAGACGCCTTCGCTGCCACTCGGTGACCGGCCTGGTCGACCGAGGGGTGGAGGGAGGAAGCGGAAAGGTCCTCTCGGGGATGCCGGGAGCTGCAAGAGGGCGAAGTTGAGCCAGCCCCCGCTTACGGTGAGGCCCTCTCAGGCAGAGCCTCCGCTGCCGCCGGCCTCCGTTCCCGGCCTCCCAGCGACTCCTGCCGTGCCTTCCGCCCCCGCTGGGCTTTTTACTTTCTCTCCGCTTAGCCTGTCCCCGCAGGCCCTGCACTGCGAGCGACGACATCACCACCGACACCGGCACCGTCCGGACAGTGGGGACTCGGAGCCTGGCCATTCCTCTGGGGAGAAGCCCCACAAGGGTAGGCGGGGAAGCTCCGGTGACGGGGCTCTCGGGCGGCCCAGCAAACGAGGTGAGTTGGAGCAAGGGGCCGGGACGGTTCGGACTTGGGGGGAGGGTTTGGTTTGTCTCCCCCCCCCGCCCCGGACCAGGATGTTACTGCTTCCTTTGGGCGAGCGCGTTCCGCTCCCCAAACGTCTGTTGCAGCGACTCGCTCCTGACTTCGGCACGCCCTCGAAGCTCATTTCAAGAGGCCTTTGCCGGGCTTCTTTGACCTAACTTGACAATAAGGAATTGGTCATGAATTATGAACCCAGGAACGAAAGACCCCGAAGATTTGATAGTGGTAGAAAAAGGTCAGCGTTTCTATGACTTGGCGAATGGGAGCCCTGAGGCGTCTTCTTACACAGAGCTTTCCTTAAGTTTGTCACTTTCCTTAAAGGGAGGTTGCTGTCAACTCATGATCCGCGACAGGATCTTTTTTTATACATTACTTTCGTGCTGCTTTTTTCGGAAAAAGAAATGTGTCTATATATACATAAGGAGAGAGGCATGCACGCATACATATAAATACATCTTCTCTAGGCAGACTGTACATAATGTATTCACTTGCCAGTTTTGAAAGGTGATCTAAAGTTCACTTATGTAGTGCCTTGTTTCTAAGATTTATTTTGATTTCGATTAATAGTGAGATGATTATCTGTTCCTTGAACTAGGAGATTATGTATTATGCCATAACTCTTAATTGGTCCAAACATGTTTGTAAATGAAACAAATTCAGTTATTGTATATGTTACAGTGGGAAAACAAACTAATGGCTTTTGGGATGGGGGATGAATATCAACGACTAGGTAAATACTGCAACATGGATAAAATAAATTTAAACTTGTTGAAAATCTTGACTAGAGGTTAAAGTTTTTAAACAAATATAGTTCTGGTTTTGTTCTAATGTAGTTACTGTTGTGACTCTAAACGATTAAGAAATTGTTATGTGGATGTGCTCTGCTACAAACCAGTTGGGAGAATAAACATTGCTATTTTCATGTTTATTTTTTTAAAAGATAATGCTTAAAAGCCCACATGCTTTCTAACTCTTAAAACAGTGTCTTTAAAAAGTTAGATAAAAGAGTGGATCCTCTCAACCTAAAATTTACTACTGTGGGGAGGCAAAACATGATGTTTGTGTGGCAAACATTGCTCAGTTCTGTAAAGTTACTATTTTGCTACAAACTATTTAAAACAATTTATCCCTTTCTTATAGACAATCAGTTTACCATACGTTGGGATATCTTACCATCTGGTTCTTAACTTCATTACTACCTAGTATGAATTTAAATATGACAAATATTTATATAGAATAAAAAATATTTCCTAAGTGCTTATGTTTTCCCACATGCTCTTTCATTTATGTTTTGTTCTTTTCATAAGTTGGTATTGTTTCAGGGAAGGATTTAATTTGTAGATGTTAATTATTTGGAATTGCTCACTTACAGTTTAATATAAATTAGGGATTATACCTGTTTATAGCAATCAACATTTTGTAGATATGACTTCAAAATTTGAGTGCCTGTATAATTTAGGCATACAAACAAAATCATGACTTCAAAAGCAGAGATATAAAAATGGATTAGCTAAAGTATTTATTGATGAAAAACCATTAGCCTAAGTATATTAAATTTGAAATGGTTTAAAAAACTTCTAATGTAATATTGTAGCCGTTGAACATAAATGCATACTGAAGTGAGGAATAACTAGTGAAGTTTTACTTTCCTCAGTTTTTTAAAATACAAATATATTTGTTAGATTATTGGATACGAACAACTTAATACAAAATGGTTTAAGAAATACTATCAAGTTATGTCTTCTAAGTTAAAGTGGCTCAAATGTTAAAATCTATATGCTGCAAAGTTCATTAACATCCATTCTGTGCTATCCTGTAAAAACTCTCATATTACATGAAACGTGTATATAAAAAGTTCAGCAGTTGCTAAAAATAGCAGTTTAATTACTAATTAAATAGACCAATTTAGGCTATCATATATAGAAATATTTTTTTTCATGATTATCTAGCTCCTTTGTTTGCATTATAAAAGACCACTCAAACCAGGAAATCACTAAAGTTGCTTAGTCTAACATAGACATACATAACAGCAATTTAAACCAAATATAACCTTATGTAAACTCTTGGCTTGTTTAATGCTTGAATGAAATAGGTATAATTAGACGTTCCTAAATATGAACTTCAGCTAATGTTGATTTCCTAATAGAAGAAAAATAGCCCAGGCTCATTCCAGGTATTGTCTTAAAGAAAAGCTACCAAGCAACAAAGAATCCATAGTGTACAAAAGAAATGCTGAGGCATTTTCTCAAAATAATGCTCAAAAAAATTGCATTGAAGAAAAGTAGCATCCCTACTTTTTGCTTCTCAGTGAACTTTTTTATGGAATTCCACTTATATTGAAAAAAATTGATATTTGGCCCTCTACCATGTTATGTGTGTTTGTGATTGGTATGGAGACCTGCCTGCCTGATTTGGAGAGGTGGAAGTTGCATGTTGTTTAGGTAGGGTCTGGATAGTGCTGAGGAAGAGGCAGTGGTTGGTATAGTTTGGTACCAATATAAGAAGGGGAAAAAAAAGCGGCCAGCCATGGAAGTCAAATTGAGATTAGTAGGTAAGAGATTATAGTGAAGAACTGTCAAAATATTCTTGGAAGTGTTCTCTGTTTAACATATATGCCAATGAGATAGAAGTATAGGCAGGTCAATTCAAATTAGCTAGGAATTTGAAAAATATTGTGCTATATATCTGTGCCAGTGGTAGTAGTACTTGGTTATAAATAAAAATATCAATGCAATGATGTAGAATGGCTAATCCCAATGGCAGTAGATTGGAAGTATGAAACCTCCTCTCCCAGAAGCTCTTTAGGTCTTGCACCTGATTCTACTGCCTGCTTTGGTTAGTGGTTTGTTAGTTCCCGCTGCTGCTGTCCAGAGTATGCCTTACTTAATGTTTTCCTCCTAAACTTAGTGCAAAAGAGATAGGGCAGACCACAAACTGGTATCACTCTGCTACAAATGGGGGGGGGGGAATAAAGACATTGGAGCAAAATAATACAGAAGTAATATAACTTCATGAACACGAAGTGTTCTACCTTTTATACAAAAACAGAACTGTAGCATAGCAGAAAAAAGAAAAACAAAGATTAACACAATATCCCTAGCTAAACATGTTAGCCTGCTTTTCTAGAGATAGGTTTCCTGAACAGATATTCTTTCTGTCTCAGTTATTCTTGAATTTTCTGCTTCTGGAGATTTCAGTATTAATTTTGAGGCTGCTGGTAAAGTGGAAAGAACTCTTTTGCAAGCCTTAATAACAATTTTCTTTCTTTAGTTGAGGTCTTTGAATTCTCTTGGTTTTGAACAAGTCTTAAATTTTAAGAGGGGGAAACTGAAACGTCTCTTTTGTCTATGTGACAAGCAGTATCTTATTTTCTTGGTGGTGGTGATTATCTTTACCAATCTTTCATCAACTGGCTATAAATGCCTGCTTGTAGTTTTTCATTAATAACAAGAGGGTTTACTAGAAATCTAATGGAATAAGGTGAATCAATGGAATATGACATCTGGATATGAATTTTATATATGTATCCTGCATATGTGCGTTATAACTAGCAAACATTGAAAGAATCTAATCTCCAGATAATAACTAAAGGTGGCAGGTGTTGCCTACAACTAGCAATAACATTTACACTTATATAATACTTAAAGCACTCTGTAGTGCTTTACAACACTCTCTGGGCGGTTAACAAATGTCAGCATATTGCCTCCAACAATCTGGGTCCTCATTTTACTGACCTCGGAAGGATGGAAGGCTGAGTCAACCCTGAGCTGGTCAGGATCAAACTCCTGGCTGTGGGCAAAGTTTGCCTGCAATACTGCATTCAAACCACTGTCACCATTTGAGGTAAGGATATACTAATCAGATCAAATGTATTAATCCTAGCTTTAATCTTAAATGGTGGCCATGATCTTGTCACAATATAGCACATTCATAATGCTCAGGTTGTTTTTAAAATAACAGTAATTGAAACTGATACAGCATGTATTCCATAATGTAAGAAAGGGTCAACCAAGACAAGGCACAGGGCAGCATATCATTTTAATAGGGTCCAGAGTACTGTAAAAGTGAAGAAAGCTTTCTTTAGGAAATGAAAACTCAAACCTAATAAAGATACCAAAAGAGCACAAACTGAGGCAGAAAAAGTTAATAAAAGAATTTAATAAAAACAGCAAAAATAGATTTAGGAAAAATCTTAAAAACTACTTTTAATATATTCAACATTTTGAATGTGAACAATTTGAAAAAACTTAAAACTTAAGATTCGTAAAAATAATGAAGGCGGTTTAAAAACCTAATAAAAACTGAAAAGTTGAAACTGAATCTAAAAATGCAATATGACATCAGAACCAAAAGCACAGCTGAAGTTCAAGAAAAACTGAAACTGAAAATTGTGGCATTGTCAGGAAAAATCGGGGCATAAGCCTATGCAAACAAAATTTACAATTTAGAATAAATCATAAATTCTATAGGGATATTGACTCAAAGCACCATCAAAGAAAAATAAAACCCTGAAATTTGACAATAAAAAATTGCACTTTGCAGGAAGATAATTATACAATGAAAGGGGACACAATATAAACTACATAAATGCAATAAAAAGGAAAAAAAATGCTATGGACATTTTAAATGTAATGGGATTAATAGTTCAAAGCAGTCAGAGAAAACAAATATATCTGGGACTGATGTGTTGGATAGATTTTAACGTCAGTGTCTAGCCATGTGGCTGCTCAGTTAGCAAACATGCAGAATTACCGTATTTGCCGGCGTATAAGACGACTTTTTTCCCCTGAAAAACATGCCTCCAAGTGGGGGGGTCGTCTTATACGCCGGGTCGTCTTATACGCCGGCAAATGGTAATTGGGAAGCACTGCGGCTGCCCGCGGCACCGCCCGGAATGACGGTGGTGCGGCCGTAAGCCTGGGATAGCCGGTCGCCTTCCCCCCACCCTCCTG